GAATGGCATTGAGCTCATGGCAGAACAAAGGTGGGAAATTGGAGCCATTAGGCTTTTCTCCACAAATGGACAGAAGGATGTGTGCATGTTCTCTTTCAGAGGTACCTGGTCCCTCAGGCACGAGTTCTGTGCGGTCTGGATGAAAACAAAGCCAAAATCACATCAGATGTGTTGACTGTTCTCATCAAGCAGTACTGCAGAGAGAGTGGGGTGAGGAATCTACAGAAACAAGTGGAGAAGGTGAGGCAGAGCTGTGTAACCGTGACCTCTTTGCTTCAGCATTCTAAGCTCTTTCTGCAGAAACAAATCCCTGTCTCATACAGGTACTGAGAAAATCAGCCTATAAAATTGTGAGTGGAGAAGCAGAGATGGTCCAGGTGACACCTGAAAACCTGCAGGACTTTGTAGGAAAGCCCATCTTCACCGTGGATCGAATGTATGAAACCACTCCTCCAGGCGTGGTGATGGGTTTGGCTTGGACAGCTATGGGTAAGAGTTGTGCAGGCACAGCGTGCAGTGACACAGTGACCTGAGGGTTAATCGTGTTACCAGGGAATTTGTTGATCTTCTACGTTGGAGTGAGGCTGCAGGTCCTGAAAGATAAATGCTGGCTGGAAAACTCAAATGTGTGTCTCCATCTTCATGTCACTGTCAAAAACTCAGTCTAGTCGTTTTGTTTGAATTTCTCTAACCAAATCCAGTGAAGCTCTTCTGCCATTAGCAATAGTAACTTCTGGGGCTTTTTAGATTCTGACTTCCATTTTCCTGAAGATAAGAGCCTTTTTTAATTAGCCCAGGCTGATTGTGACTTCTCTTCGTGTGCTGTACCCATGTGAGCCACATCCATTACAGTGGCAGTGATTAAAAGCATAAGCTTTGCTAAGAGCAAGGACCAAACCTTAGAAGAAGGAGGTGCTGTTCTGACTTGCAGCGTGCCTCAGCTGTGCTGTATCTCTCCAGTGATGTGTCACCATGGCTTTCGGTGCCAAGGGCAGATGCAGGCATTCCAGCACTGACTTGGAGTGAGCGAAGGCAGTAGTTACGCTTCACTGGACTGCTCCCCTGCTTATTTGGGGTCCTGTGTGCACCACTGAGGAGACTTACAGCACACGTTAAAGGATTAGACGTCCAGATGTGTTCCCTGTGTGTTTAATTGGCTTTGGGTGGGATTGAAGTCCTGGAAGTGGTTAGAAAGGAAATAATTGTACAGTGGAGAAGGTAAACAGATGCACTGGGAAGTAGAGCTGACAGGTGTGGTGTGAGCATGTCTTACAGCCAGGAAGTGCCTACAAAGATTGCTTCCACTAAATATGGGCTGTGTCTATGGGTGATTGTGAGGTTTGAAGGAGCAGTGAATGGGGACCATCAGTGCAGTCCTGTTGAGATTTCTAGCTAAGCTTTCTGAAGGGATTTGGGGAACAGCTCTCAATTGCTCTTTCCTCAACAGTTCTCATTAGAAAGCCTTGACTTCAAATTCCTCTCACAGTGTCTGCTTCACCAAAGCCACCTGCTTTGATTTTCTTTAACCTTTCTCAGGATGTTGTTTTTCTTCTCTTTCTCAGGAGGTTCCACTCTGTTTGTTGAAACATCCCTGAAGCGACCCAAAGACAAGGAGGGCAAGGATGGGTCCCTGGATGTGACAGGGCAGCTGGGGGACGTAATGAAGGAGAGTGCCAAAATTGCTTACACGTTTGCAAGAGCCTTTCTGATGCAGAAGGAGCCCAACAATGACTTTCTCATGTCGTCCCACATCCACTTGCACGTCCCAGAGGTGATCTGATGGGGAAGTCAGAGACATGCACGGCTGCTTGCCTGTCACACTTTAATGTAGTCCACGTTTTCCCCGTTGCTTCTTCCAACGCAATGGGAACCTGGTTGTTGTTACCTGATGATTGGTTTCTTGGAGGATCAGAAAGCAGTAGATGTTTTCTCTGCCTCTGTTCCTCTCCCATAGCTGTTTGTTTCTTCTCAGAGATCTGTTTGACCTCAGATCCATGCAATCTGTCACTAACTGAGGTTTTGCTGGGTAAACTGAGCAGTATTTTCTGCCTTGTTTTCAGTATTGCTCTCCACTACTTTGTGATTCTTTATCTGCCCTTGAAATACTGCTTCTTGTTCCCATGGTTGGCTTAGGCCAACAAAAAATGTCAAGGTATTGATGCTCATTTTTTGCTTAAATCAGTTATTCAAAATCCTGAGCTTGACGAATATCACAGATGCATCAGGCCAGAGATCAAGCTGTAGGCTCAGTTTATTGTTGTGAATAAGATGAGGAGTGGCACGGTGTCACTGCATGTGCCATTTCAAACAGTACTTTCCCCAGAACCTTTGTGCAGTTAAGTGCAAGACCCCCAGAAATTGCTGCTGTGTTAAAACAGCAGTGGACAAAGGTATTGTCTAGTTTTGCTGGTCTGCAAATGGGTTGAAAATATTTTTTTTAATTATTTTTTATTTTTTTGTCAGGGAGCAACACCAAAGGATGGACCAAGTGCAGGATGTACCATAGTAACAGCACTGCTGTCACTGGCCATGGATTGCCCAGTGAGGCAGAACGTGGCCATGACTGGAGAGGTGTCCTTAACTGGGAAAATTCTTCCTGTGGGTGGAATCAAGGAGAAGACCATTGCAGTAAGAGCTCATGTGGGCAGAGGCCCATGTTTGTCTTGGGGGCCGGGCACAGCGGGTTTTGCTCCTGGAGTGGCAGAGAGAGGCAGTAATGTGGAGAAACCTGCTGGTGGGAGTGGGCATCTTGCTGGTGTCTCCAGGCGTGAGGAAGGAGGTGAAAACCGAGGCTGCTTGCTGGATTTTTCTGTTCTAGAATGGAGGGGATTTAGAACTTGGAATTGCATTTCATCACTGTGAGCTTTTTCTCTGTAAAACATTACGAATCGGCACAGCAGCCCCAGGTGTGCTGTCACTGTTCTGCTAACAAAGCTTGCAGTCCATGCAGCTGCTCCAGGGCGCCTTGGGGCTGGGGGAGCTGCATGGCTGCAAGGCCCTGACTGCTTTCTGTAGGAGGGTAAAGCCAGATGGTGCTCCTGAACCAGAGTGCTTGCTCCTTTTCCAAAATGGGAAGGAATCTCTGTTCCTAGTGGACTGATGGATTTCTAGGACTGAACACACAGACAACATAACTTTCTTTCTCCCCATAGGCGAAGAGGGCAGGTGTTACCTGCATCATTTTGCCGTCAGAGAATAAAAAGGATTATTATGACCTTGCTGGATTCATCACAGAAGGACTGGAAGTGCATTTTGTTGAGCACTACAAGGAGGTATTCGATATAGCGTTTCCAAAACAGGATTCGGCTGCAGGATGATGCCCAACACCTGGGGCTGGAGGGAGGTTTGTCCCTCAGTGCTCTGCCTGACATGGGCTGATCCTGACGTGGGACACGGAGCTATTGCTGCTGCGCAGCTGCTGAACTGAGCGAGGGCTTTGGTCGAATGATGTATTTCTCCCCCTTTAATACTGAATTACGATCCAACTTAAGTATTTCCAATAAAATGAAGTTGTGAGATTTTACCAGAGGAATGTGCATGTTATCAGCCACCAGCAGCAGAGCTACTTCAGCCTCTTACACTCCAAGGAGATTTTATAGTTATTTCACTGCACACCAAACATCTGCTTCAAGGAGTATGAACACAAGTGAACACTGTACTGGCGGATGAGGAGTTCCCTGGAACATCTCCCTGCCTTGGTGGGGAATGCTGGAACTCTCGTGGGACACAGAAGCAGAGCTAGCACACTGTGTGGTGGAGGGACATGGATCTCCCAGCATAAGCCGTAACTCTAAGCTTAAAGGGAGCACACTGGGACACAAGAGCAGCCTGCTCAGTACCAGCAGTGAGTTCTGCACACCACTGTTGACTCTTCACCGCAGCAGCTGAATTATGTTCAGAGTGAAAAAAGGAATGAAATGTGTGTGTCTGTTGTGTATGTCAATAAACACAGGCTTGGGCTTGAGAGTTTGAGCGCTTCACCTTAGGGTGAGCTTTAGAGAAACTGAGTTTGAGTAGGACTTATTAAATAGAGGAAGAGAAATTCCAAGGAGCATTTGAAATGTATTCCTTCCGCTGGAAGAACTGCACTGTCCTGTCCCATCTTTCAGCTAGGTGGGCTCTAGTAGGAAATAAGAATTTTCCTGCTGAAATTCAAGCAGCTTTTAGCGACTGCGTTTCTCTCCTGATTTGAAAACGTGCTGCTGAATGGGCAGAGACTGGGTTTTGAGAAAGGCAGTTCAGTTTGGATCACATTTTGTCTCAGTGGGGTGTGAGCAGGAGCAACTCCAAGATGAAATGAGGGGGAAGGGATGTCCCAGAGCAGATGAACCCCCTGGTCAGCCTGCTGCTGTCCTGGGATGTTTGCAAACACCACAACAGCCCTGGGGGACAGATGCACACAGGCTTTTTTATTGACCTTGCAGCTCCCAGGACTGGCAAGGCACAGCTCTAACCCCTGCCAGTTTGGGTTTGTTTTGGTGTTGCCCTAATTCCTGATGCAGAGTGCTGCGCTGTGCTAGAAAAAGTAGGCTCTGTACTTTGCAAAGTTCTGTCGCCAAAGCAGGGAGTGGGGGCAGCATTGTGTCTCTGATGATTTGGGTGCAAGCGTGAAGATAAAGCAGATTTGTTTGTCTTTGCTACAGGAGTGGCAGGAGGCAGGCAGCAGCTGCCCACCACTTGCAGCAGCCATTCCCTCTCTCTCTCAGCAGTACTGATGAACTTGCTTGTTCTGCCCTCCAGAACTTTCTCCTCCTCTTGCACCAATTCTGAGGCAGAACTATGAACAGAGAAGCCCTCCTGCTACCTACAGGCACAAGGAAGGAATGTTAAAAAGAGCAGAAATTCCACTTGGTAAGAATGGGCAGAAGAAGGGAATAAAAGAGCGATGCAAATTCTGGATTGCTGTATTTTAGGGATTGTCAGCAAAACCCCTCAGCATCCCCAGGAGCCGCCCAACCCTACGGCCTGAAGCAGGTAAAGCACTGAGCCATTACACTTCGTTTATCAGAAAGGGCTTTATTGAGCTCCAGGCCGTACAACTCAATCCTTCTTTGCAGCAGCTTTCCTCATGGCTGCCAGGACATTGCTGAGTTCTTCCCGCTTTCGCTTGGCCCGAATGTGAGTGCCAACCTGCAGAGAGCAGAGCAGCACGGTCAGCAGCGCCCAGCAAAGCAGAGAAAAGCAGCTGGTTGGCTTCAGGCATTCACTTGAGAAGCAAATGAGACAGTACTGCCCCAGCATAGATTTGAAGCCCAGCAATCTCAGCTGGCCAGAAGGAGCTGCTTCAAGTGATGCTTCAGTAGTGTTTCTACTCTGTTCTTGGGGGGAAAGGCAGAGAATGTTCCCAGCCATCAGGGCTGCCTCCAGTGAGCTCTCTTTCAAGTCAGCTGGTTAATGGCCCCCAGCCTCTGCCAGCATCGCTCTACCTTTCCCAGCATCAGTTCACAAGTAATGCAAGAAGAGCAATGGAAGTCTGAACTCAGGACCTCAAAGTGTCTCTCCAAATCCAGTATCTAAGTCCATCTCCCTCTCTCCCACCCTCCCTCAGGTCAGACACTAACTGCCCTAGCAACTGTAAAAAAAATAACAGAGCAGACCTCGAGATAATAGATAATAGAGCAGAGGACAGAAAACTGGCAGCTCAACCAAAGAGTTTCTGACAGCCTCATTCAAACATCAGCTTGACCCACCCGTTTCTTGATGAACTTCAGAGCACGTTTATCTTTGGAGACTTTCAGCAGTTCCATAGCACGTCGTTCGTAGGGCGCGAAGCCGCAGACCTCCCTGATCATGTCTCGCACAAACTTGGTGTGTTTGGTCAGGCGCTGTTGGAAGGGGAAAGAAAAACAACATTCACAATCAACATAAGCAGAAAAACAGCCAGTGTGCCAGAGCCACCCCTGCCAACAACACAGCCCTTCCACGTGCTCTGCAGGGCTCTGAACTAGTGGGCTGTGGAGACACGAAGACCTGACTGGATGCTGACCTGTGCGGCCTGTCGGGGGGAGCTGCTTTGCAGGGGGTTGGACTCAATGATCCCTCGAGGTCCTTTCCAACCCCTGTGATGTGCAAATTTAAAGCCACACATGCAAGTTTGGGGAAAAAAAAAATATCAGAATGCTGATGTATGATGTGTGTGCACCAATCTGCAATTAAGGAATTAGAAATAGAAGTATGCAGTGAAGTAGAAGGGCAGAACTTCTACTGGGCTAAAGCCCCCAGAGCAGCTCTGCTCCGAGCACAACTCAGGGCAGGAAGGCTGCAGGATGTGCTGGGCAGCACTGGTGAGATCACAGAATCATCACAGAACGGCCTGGACTGAAAAGGACCACAAAGATCATCAGTTCCAACCCCTGCTGTGTGCAGGTCGCCAACCAGCAGCCCAGGCTGCCCAGAGCCACATCCAGCCTGGCCTTGAATGCCTGCAGGGATGGGGCATCCACAGCCTCCTTGGGCAACCTGTTCCAGTGCCTCACCACCCACTGGCTGAAAAACTTCCTCCTCACATCCAACCTAAACCTCCCCTGTCTCAGTTTAAGGCCGTTCCCCCTCATCATATCACCATCCACCCTCACAAACAGCCATTCCCCCTCCTGTTTATAAGCTCCCTTCAAATACTGGAAGGCCACAATGAAGTCTCCCCAGAACCTTCTCCAAGCTGAACGAGCCCAGTTCCCTCAGCCTTTCATAGAGAGGTGCTCCAGAGAGATGTGCTACTCTGCTTTCTCTGAACAGCACCTGAGATGTTGGACATCTGCAGGCACCACCATTTGTATCAAAAAACAGGGCCATAGGAAATGCAGGGGTGCACTGCTGCACATCTCCAACACAACATGGCGTTTTGTGAACAGGTGACAGAAGCTGCAAACAATTTCTCCCATCAGCACACACATTTAGTGAGCCTCGCTCAGTAAGTCCCATTAGTGGTTATTAACCTGGAAAGCACCTGTTGTCATTACCTAAAGCACGGTGCCAGGAAGGCCTTCCAAAGTCCCCCAGCACGTTTTCTATTTTGCTGCCCACATTTAAGCTGTAATGTACACGTATCCATCTTATCCTTCCATTACAGGGCGCTACACTGCTAATTCTGCTCTCACTCGACACCTACACCCATGGATTTCATCCTCGCCATAATCTACACAGCCCCTCCACGCCTACCAGCACCCCTCCCTGCCTCTCTCCATCCCATCGCAGTTTCCTGCCCGTTTCCCACTGCTCTCTACCCTCGCAGCTCGATGCCGCTCGGCACTTTGCAGCCCGCAACCCTCACTGCCGCCAATGGCCTCTCCCGCGTATCTGCACCCGCGACCACCGGGCCGGGCCCAGCTGCGCCCCAACCCTCGGCGAAGCGCCGAACCCGCACTCACCCCTCGGCGGCGGCAGTGCCTCGGCTTAGACACGTTCTTCGTCACCTTGTAGCCCTTGTTGAGGCCGACGGCCATAGGGTAGCGGATCGCCATGTCTGCGGGAGAGAGCGGTCAACGCTGCGTCGCGGCCCGGCCCGGCCCGGCCCGCCCCCGCTGCGGGCCCCGATCCCCGCCTCGCTGCGGGCCCCGGCCCGACCCCCACGGGCGCGGATCGCGGCCCCGGCCCTCACCGGCCGCAGATGGCCGCGGATCCCGGGGGCTCCAACCAGCACCAACCTGCAGCCGCACCGCCGGCGCCGCACCGGAAAGAAGGAGCGCGCGCGACGTGCTGAGACAGCGGAACTTCCGGTCCGGCCCTAGAGGGCGCTCTATCCCTGGCGGGACCATAGAGACGAGCCGGGGTGGGGCGCTGGGCGGCCGCCTGGCGGCAGAACGATACCGCCGCTGATAGCGCCGCTGATAGCGATGCCGAGCGGTGCTGGCGCCGAGCTACAGGCGGGCGTTGCCGGCGGGTTGGTGGGGCCGTGGTGGGGCCTTCGGGCTCCAGGGCACGCTGCTGCCTCAGACCCGACCAGAACCCCAGGTCCCGTTCTGCAGGCTGCTGTCCGGCCTCTCATCCCCCGCCCGTAGCCGCGGCAGGGCTGCACACCCAGGGGCAGGATTCGGCCCTTGCTCTGGCTGCACTTCACGCTGCTGGGGATTGCCCAGCCCTGCCGTGTGTCAAGGTCTCTGCAAGGCCTCTCTGCCACTGAGGGAGTCAGCAGCTCCTCCAGTTTAGGGCTGTCCTCACACTCAGCATCCACTCGAGTCCTGCATCCAGACACCGTCTCCAGACCAGACCTCTCCTTACAGATAAAGCACTGGATCCCATAGAGAGGGGTGTGACTTAAGCTTAGAGAACACCGTTGATCTCACTAGATTGCTTTCTAAATGTCTGAAATACCAAATAAAAGCATAGGAACCAAAGAAGGGTTGCACTCCTGTTTATGCCATCAGCAAAATGCATGCAGTGTCTTTTTGTAGTTGGAGCTCCAGAGCAGCCTCTGGGAGACTGCTGGCATTGCAGAGCATTGCCTGAGTCCACAGCTACTGCAGCAGAAGCTGTGCTATGGAAATCATGGAGCATTTGCAAGAAACAGCATCAAACTGATTTGAGATTGCTGTCTACTTTGGTGGCCATCGCATGGGAACTGATTTGCACCTCCAAAAGAGGTAGAGGGTGGGGGCACCAAGCAGACCAGAAGGGAACTATTCAGGGGCCACCCCTGCCATGAAAGTGCCCTAAGAAAGCTGCAGCCTGAATCTGAGCCTGAAGTCTGAAGATCCCATGAGAGATGCAACAAGTTGACAAAACATGAGATTTGTGTGACATGTTCAACACAATGAGCTGTTTTTTACTTTCTCCCATTCCATGAGAGGTAAACACCTTCTCCCATATTTCCAGCACTTGCAAATGGTTTGCATCTCAGCAGAATTTCCCCCTTTAATTAATTCTCCGTGCTCTTTGCCCTATTACTCAGAGCTGTTGTAAGCAAAGTTCCATGAGGTGAGTACACACTTTCCCTATTTTATAACGTAACAGGGCAAAGAGCACGGAGAGTTAATTAAAGGGGGGAGTTTGGGGGCCTCTTCATTCAGCTATTTCTGAATCTCCTTTTTAGAGCTGGTAAAGGTCCCAATGACTCTGGGATGACTAATTCCTTTTCTTATATATGACTGTCTTTTGTGCTCTGTAAGGCCTTTTTCACATGACTCAGCCTTATCAAAGAATAAGGAAGGAAAATGTGGCCTCCATGCTAAATAGGACTAATATGGATAAGGCTGACTCAGTGCCTTTCGTGCTTTGGTCTACACCAATAGGTTCTCCCAGGCTTTTGTACCCATAGACAGGATGTTCTTGAGAAAACATCTACAGCTCTGTGGGATCAAACAAGATGGATACTCTTGGATAGTTGTGTGTCTTTTGTACAGTGGTGCCCAAATCTGCACACAGTACCCAAGGCAGTGCAGTGTAGAACAGGACAATCCCCTCCTTTGCCCAGCAGCGCCATTCTTGATGCACCCGAGTACAGCTGGCCTTCCTGGCTGCCAGGGCACACTGCTGACTCACGTTCAACTTGCTGTCCACCAAGAACCCAAAATCCCTTTCAGCAGATCTGATCTCCAGCCTCTCGTCCCCCAGTCTGCAAGTACATCAATGGCTGCCAACTTCATGGCAGCTCTTGTTGAATTTCACACTGTTGGCAATCACCCAGATCTCTCATTTCTCTAGATTCCTCTGCAAGGCCTCTCTACTCTCAACAGAGTCAACAGCTCTTCCCAATTTAGTATCTTCAGCAAACATGCTCAAAACACCATCAAGTCCTTTAGCTGAGTCATTTAGGAAAACTTAAGAGAACGAGCCTTAAAATCATCGAGGTTGGACTCGATGATCTCTGGAGGTCCCTTCCAACCCCTGCGATTCTGTGATTCTACGATTCTGCGAAAACGAAGCCCAATCTTTTACTACAACCCTTTTGGGCCCAACTCATCAGCCAAGGGCTCACCCATCACATTATGGTTTTGTGTAGCTGTATGCTGGACATTTTGTCCTGAATGATACTGTGAGAAACGGTATTGAAAGCTTACTGAACTGCTTGAGCAACCTTGTCAGAAAAGGAAATTCAGTTGTTAAACAGGACCTTTCCCCTCATGAACATGTGTGGCTGGGACCAATGACCACATTGTCCTTAAGTATTTTTCAGTAACTTTCAGCAACATTTTCTCCATCATCTTATCAGGAAAAGAAGTGAGACTGATGGGCCTGTACTTACCAATGTCTTCTTTCATGCCCTCTCTAAACTGGAGTGTTTGCTAGCTTCAGCACGATCCACACAGGCAGCCTGATGCCTCCCCTATGAGCTGAGACCTTGCTGTTCTCACTGCTGTGGTCTCTTTGGGAAGTCCTGCCTCCCCCCTGCACTCCTGGCAATCCCTTCTGGACCTCAGACCCCTGAAAGCTGCATTCACTTCTGCAAGGCTCTGGGCTGAGGTCTGCCCTGTGCTGGTATGTTGCAGCTCAACCCCATATGCAACACAGGGTGTTCCCCCAAGTGACAGAACTGCAGTGTTTCCAGGAAACAGTTACTCACAAATGTAACCAGCAAAAATCCGTACACAGGATTCATCATCACAGTTCGGGATGCACCTACACACCAAGCTCTGAAAAGAGGATGTGGGCACAGCAGCAGTGATAACATCTCTGTGCCCCCTAACAAGTGACAGCGGCTGTCAGACACTGAAACTCCTGCCTGTGCCCCTGCTGCAGACACACCGCGCTGTGCTGGCACTGCTGCAGCATGTTGTACAGCTGCCATCAGTTCTCTGCTGTGCTATTCTGAGAGCTGAGGAAGGGGTCAGGGCAGCTTCTGTTGGTGAGATGCTGAAGGTGGAGAGGATCCTGATGTGCACCGGGGCTGATCAGAGCTTCACCGAGGGCTTTGGGAGTGAAGGCCAGTGGGAGCCTGCACTGCTCTATGTTTTAATAAAAACAGCCCTCCTGCGCTGGAACAACTCCAGGGTCTTCGGACACTTTGCCTATCTCCTCTGTAGTGTTTTCTGTGCATACCTCAGCACACAGGAACGCGTTGCATCAGTCCCAACCCAGGCTGACCTCTGGCTGGCTCCCACCAAGCAGTCACTGAGCTGTTTGCCATCCCTCTTGCAAAGCACTGTCCTATTGTGGGTCAATCATTAACTCTGAACACTTTCTTTGGTGGTGCTTTATTAGTTAGATTTAAGCACACCTTATACAAAGCACTGCTTTGCATATCATACAGCAATTTTTACATCGGCTTTTGATTCTTGCAGCTGAAGCAGTTTGAACAGAAGTTAAAGAAAACTCTGCTTTTGGTAAATAAAGTGAGATCCAGACAATATCCCCCAGAAGGGAGGAAGGGCAGATGACCCTGCAGCAGTTCTCCTATTGCTATATGTAACAGTGAGGGATGGAGAAGGCGAGGTGTATTTCTAGCGCTGAGCCTCATGCAAAGGCTTCTTTCTGTTAGAGCCTTTCACAGCAGAGGCACAGTGCTAGAACTGTTGCCCGAGCTGACCCACACCAGCATCTGTTCCTGAGCCCACCTGCTCCAGGAAAAGCTGGAGAACAACCCCTATCTGTTCCTTGGAGCTTGTGCTGAGGGATGGCTGCTCTCCACCTGGCCAGCACAAATGCTGCCCCTGTCAGAGCAAAGGAACCATCTGCAGCTGCCATTTCGGGCAGAGGCAATGGAGGCAATGACTTAACTCTTCCAGGGCTGAACAGGAGTTTTTCAAGACAGGCTGATACTAAATCTGCTACTATGCCATGGGATGCCTTTGGTTTTGATCCATTTCTGCAATTATAGGTGTCTGAGTTTTGGTTTTCCTTACAAGCTGCTCCTCACTTCCAAGTGAAAAGGCTAAGCTTAGGTAAAAGATATTGCTCAGAGGGACACAGATTCTTTCTTGTAGGAAATCACATAGAGGAGGACCTCGGTTCCCCTGCAGCTGCTGTACTGGCAGATCACGTGCTGCTTCTCCCTCATGCCAGCACAGCTTTCAGTGGGACCAGTGACTTATCTTCCTATTTACCTCTGCTGCTGGGGATGGAAAGGTTTCACCCTTATCAGGAAGGAAAGGCCATTTCCAGCCCCTGGGATTTCCCTCAGAATTAGCCATTTCAGTCAGAATGCAACAACCATTTGCGTCACTGTTAACTTTTAGAAGATGTCCGATGTTTTGCAGAGGCTGAATGCCATATGAATATGAATGACTTGCACAGGGATGAACCCATGGCCCCTTCCTTGCAGGGTTGTTCAGGTATCTCTGCAGGCACAAAGAAGAGTGGGGCAGCAGGCTGCATTGACCCTTGGGGCAGCTCAGGATGCCAGCTGAGCTCAGCCCAATGGTCGGTGTGTGCCAAGGCCTCGGGCTTCTCCTATCCATCTGCAAGCCAGGTGGGCCAGGCAGGGCAAGAAGGGCTCCAGCACAGGGCACCCCTTCATTTCTCTAGTGACCCCAGTGCAGAGGAGCAGAAAGCTGTGCTGTCTGCTTGCATTGTACACCACCGGGCAGCTGTAAGTTCTAACGTTTACTTGCCCACGCTGTATCCCTGGAGGTTGTGGACAACTGAAGAGTCCAAGGCACACTTTGTGACCTCGTGCTGGGCAGAGAGCAGGTACCCAGCATGGAGGAGGTAGGAAAGACGGAGTGAGGAAAAGATGGATAAAGTGGTAAGTGCTGGCTTAGAGGTGAAAGACAAGAAGGAGGGAGTGGAGAGGTGGAGAGGGCTGT